GAGACTTGGTCTTCTGTCACCAGTGTTAACAGGTGACACCCCAGTGTGTGTTTGCGTGTCTGCTTCCCTCACTGGATGGCGGGCTCCTTGCGAGCCGTCCAGTCCTGCTCCCTGCACTTTTCAGCACCTGCACGGCACCCTACGTGGGGTCAGCCCTCCCTCCATGCTTCCTGCATGAGCCTCTGCAGACGCCAATGAGTCCTGAGTTGAGTGAGTGTCAGCGGCCTCGCAGTCGCTTTGGGAAGACAGGCCCCAGCTGTGACCCGGTGTACAGCGATTTCTAACACTCAGCACTTCTCAGTCTCTCTGCCTTTGTCCTTGGTACTGACTTTGGCTCTCCCTGCATGAAACATCTGCGCTACAAGAGAGACAACACAGCCGTGGCCAGGTGGTTCCGCGGGTTGGAGTGTTGTCCCATACACTGAAAGGTTGCAGGTTCAATCCCCAGTTGGGGTGCATGTGGGAGGCAACCAACTGATGTTTCTCTCTCTGTCTCTCTCTCTAAAAGTCAATAAATATATCCTCAGGTGAAACTTTAAAAAAGAGAGAGACAGCGCAGGCAACAACAATTAAATCAGAAAGAGATTACTGAGGGATAAAGAAGTTAAGACTTCCCTCCCTGCTCTGGCGGCCACTGTCCAGCACTGTGTCCGGGATGATTCCACGGGGCGTGCTCACCCTGGAGCACGAGTCGGTGACCTTTCTCGTGAAGGACCAGAGAGTGCACACGTGCGGCTCTGCGGGCCGCGCGGGCCCTGGCACAACTACCGAACTCTGCCGCTGGAGTGGGAAAGCAGCCAGCAGCAACATAGAGGTGCAGCTGTGTTCCAATAAAACTTCATTTATAAAAACAGGCAGTGGGCCCTGGCTGGCGTAGCTCAGTGGATTGAGCTCGGGCTGCGAACCAAAGTGTCGCGGATTCGATTCCCAGTCAGGCCACATGCCTGGGTTGCAGGCCACGGCCCCCAGCAACCGCACATTGATGTTTCTCTCTCTTTCTCTCTCTCTCTTTCTCCCTCCCTTCCCTCTCTAAAAATAAATTTAAAAAAAGATTTATTAAAAAAAACAGGCAGTGGGCTGGATTTGGCCTACGGACCCTAGTTTGTCAGCTCCTATCCTGCGGTACTAATTGCTCTTTCATGTGTTTTTTTTTTTCAAAGAATTAATTAAACGTTATTCATGTGTTCGCTTGCTATGTCTAATAAAAGGTTGGCTTATTTTCAAAAGCAAGACATTTTTCCAAAAATCATTTTACTTACTGATTTTAGAGAGAGAGAGAGGGAGAAACATCTCTTTGTTGTCCCCCTTATTCGTGCAGTCACTGGTCAGTGCTTGTCTGTACCCTGACCGGGGATGGAACCACAACCTCGGGGTGTCAGGACGGCGCTCGAACCCATGGAGCTAGCTGGCCAGGGTCAAAAATTAGGGTCAAAAGTCATTTTTAAAAGGTGTGTGTGGTGAGGGTGGGAGGGAGGTGGACCGCTCGAGGATAAAACACGGCTGCAGACCCCAGCGGCTCCGCTCCGCCCCCTTCTCCTGCCCAGCCTGCCCTGAGCAGCCAGGACCCTCCCCCAGGCCCCCCGAGCTTCTACATCCACCTCCCCCGCAGCCTGGCCCTGCGGCCCGGGGATCAGCAGCGCTGCCCCCCAGCTCTTCTCTTCCTCTGGCCTCAGCCTGGATGCCAAGGTGCAGACTGAGTCTGCACTGACCGTTATCCTCGAAACTCTTTCAACCTTTTCATTTTCCCTCCAGAGACACCAAGTTACACCTGCCGTTTGCAGCCTCGAGGCCCCGCCCTGTCTTTCACCTCTGTCCCCGGCCTCACTGCCTTTGTTTGAGAGGATCAGTTACGGTGAGGTGGGAAACACCGAAGCTTTACGGCCTCCACGTCTCACTCCTGTGAGGGTGTGTCGCAGCACCTGGAGGGCCCGGTGAACGTGTCTTGCCGGCCGTTAAGGAGAGCTATGGTGCTGGTTGCCAAGCAACACACATGCCCCGACTGCTTCCTACAATATGGCCTTAGAAAAGTCCCGTGATTTCTCATGAATGGGGCCTCGTGTGGAAACGGGCAGGGCAAACGGTTTGCTATGCGAACAAGACGTCCGTCCTTCTCTGTCTTTGGTGTCTTATCCTGAGAGCCCGCGCACCAGGTCGCAGGGACGAACAAGTGGGCTGTGCCTTTGGCAAAGAGCGCTTAATTAACCAGACTTACCGTGAGGAGCTTCCTAGGACACTCCAGCCTTGTCACTTGCAGATTCCATGTCACAAGCTTGCCTACTTGCTGAAACGTATTCGTGACCCCAAACCGTGTCCTTCGCCACAGACGAGCGCAGTGACAGAGTCTTCGACTCGCCCCGTAGACGTGTTCCCAGCTGCGGCGGAGTGAGGCGATGCTCTGCCCTCTGACCCCCCCCTTTCTTTCCATGAACAAGTGTCCCTCTCACGGTCTGTGTCGTGCCCCATTTTTCTTGCATCTGTGACTTTTCGTTCGTGATTTAACTGTTTAAAACAACTCCCAATGTGTAGAACCGCAGCGCTGCCTAGAGCGTGCCTCACGGAGGAGATCCTTGCGTTAGGGAGCCTCGTCCAGCTGTTGGCGGGAACCTGATGTTGGTGAATCAGCAGTGTGGCACACCCAGGGAGAGGAAGAGGTGGCGGGCCACTGAGCCGGACTTCGGGCTGGCCTGGAAGTGTCACGGTCACACCCGCAGGGCCTGAGGAAGCCGTGGGGCAGGGGCCGGGGTTCCTGCACATTCACAAGGCGACGACTGGTCCAGGGAAGAGGGCAGTGGACAGCGTCACGGTGAGGCTGAAAGCCACGGGCATTTATGGTCATGGTGCCCAGAGTCAGAAAAAGGTTACACCCCTCTCGGCTAGTGTTTTATTATGAAGAAATGAGTGCCTGCAACTCGTTCTTTGTAAGAAATGTATATTAAATAAGGAATCTTGAAACAGAAATGCACACGGAGCAAGGTTATGTGTGGTCACCTGATGGGACGGTGTGACCCAGAGGCCCTCAGGGACCGCGGCCATGCTTTTCCTGGGAGCCATGGCCCTGTGGTCACCAATCCGGTGACCATGGAGACTGCGTAGGACCTGACCACCACGAGCTCTGAGAACTGGCTGCATGGGGTCATAGGTCGACCCTCATGGACTCTGTCCTCCACTCCCCACGGGGAAGACAGAGCCCAAGGCTCATGCAGGTTCAGTGTCTTCTCTGGAAACCTCTGCCAGGACGGGGCCTTGGCTTCCCCGTCTGGGTGTCAGCGCTGGCTGGTCCGGGACTTCCCCCTGGATTCCTTTGGAAAGGAGTTACATGTTTACAGCCGGGCCGCCTTCCTCCTCCCCACCCCCCCACCCCCCCACCCCGCCTTGCTGTTCTGTCTCAGTTCGGGCTGGCATAACAAAGCACCACAGACCGGGTGGCTCAAACAACAGAAATGATCTCTGATGGTGCTGGTGTCGAGGACGCCCTAGACCAGGCTCTGGCAGATCCAGTGTGTGGTGAGGACCCGCCTGTGGTTCGCGGACGGCCACCTTGTTGCCATGACCTCGCACAGTGGAAGGGGCGAGGCGGCTCTCTGGGGTCTCGTTCCCAAGGGTGCCAGTCCAGTTCACGGGGTTCCCACCCTCACCACCTCCCAAAGGCCCCGCCTCCGAACACTGTCACACTGGGGTAGGACCTCAACATGAATTTGGGGAAGACATGAGCATTCGGCTGTAATACTCTCCTCCCACCACTTTCAACACTGACTCTTCTGCTGGAAGGGAAACCCTGATATATTTTTAACTTGTCCTGGAACTGAGCCAGAGCGAGCCCAGCAGCCCCAAACTGACACCTTAATTGGTCCCAGATGGAAAGGAAGAACTATCGCTCTCAGGCCGGCCTTTCCTCCCCGAAGGGCGGCGCAGGTCCCGTGTGAAATGCCTTCCCCATTTCCAAGGTCTAATCTCTGCTGACAGCGGCCTGCGTCTCACACCGAGTCTGCGCGCTGGGCAGCCCCTCTCCAGGGAGCTGTGTGGGGCCGCTGAGTGACAGCCCGACGGGGACACAGATGGAAGGACAGGCCCCTCACACCTGACGTAACACGACACATGGAGGGGAACGTAGGGCGAGGGGAACAAAGAGGCTGCCTCGGCCCTCCGCCTCCCGGGAGGCTGTGGAGGGGAAGTGACGTTTGGCGGCTGTTGGGAGGCAGTGGGTTGAGGGCGACGCAAGCAGGGCCTTTCAGAAGCCGGGCAGGCAGAATGTGGGGACGAGCAGAGGAATGGAAAAGCAGGAGCCACTCCTCCAAGTCCGTTTTTAAAGAACTTAGAAACACAGGCTGTAAACTCCTGGGCTCTGGCTCCTCCCCACAGCACCTGCAAAGTCCCTACAGGAAGTTTTTCTAGAATGTTCCACGTTCTGTTGCTGATTGAGTAAGTGCTAAGGCCTGCATCTGTGTTTCACCACTTATCGGGAACAGGAATACCTTTATTACTACTCTGCAAAGACGAGAGTTTAGAGCCAACAGCAGCAAAGTGGTTGCAACTCCTTGGCAAAAGGCACTTTGCAGGTGTTATGAGCACAGAGATGTCTAGGGCCAGGTCACGGCTGGGGCACTTCTTTCTGTGGCGGGGACGGCCCGTGCGCCGGGACTCGCGGAACAGGCTCGTGTGCACACTGAGTCGTCATTGGTCACAAGCCACCTCCCTCTCACTCCTGTCCCCAGGCCACGTTGTGTGCAATGTCACGTGCACACAGACTCACAGGAACGCGCATCACAGCCGGCTCAGGAGTGCCGAGGGGAGCATTTTGCCTGAACCCTGTCCTTGGAGTTTGAATCACTGGTGCAGCTGCCAGCTGCAGATGGCCCTGTGCTAGGCTATAATGTGCATTAGTCTGCCATCACACCAAGGCAAAGAAAAGCCCCCTGCCGGCCCCCTAAAGCCACACCGAGGCCCTGAAGGCCAAGGCGAGGCGTGGCCGCTGACTCAGCCCCCACCCGCCCCGCCCGCAGGGAGAGCAAGCTGACCATGCTGCTGCGGGAGTCCCTGGGCAACGTGAACTGCCGCACCACCATGATCGCGCACGTCTCCGCCGCGGCCGGCAGCTACGCCGAGACCCTGTCCACCGTGCAGATCGCCTCGAGGGTCCTGCGGATGAAGAAGAAGAAGACGAAGGTGAGGAGCCTGCCGGGGGTGCACTGATGGGGAGGAGCCCTCGGGGGGCCGAGTCAGGAAAAGCCCAACCAGTGTTTCCAGCCCCTGGACAGCAGGGCCACGGGCGCGAAGTGTCCACCTGGGGGCAGGAAGCGCTTTGTGCTGCTGCAGAAGGGAGTCACTTCCGGTCCCCCTCCCCTGTGGGCACTTTTCCGCATCATCCATTCTGGACCCCCTAACCGAGAGCACTGGTCCGTCCGCTTTCCATGGTTCAGATGCATCGCTGCCTCCAGACGGGACATCTGGGAAGGACAGGAAGTGCAGTGTCTCTCATCGGCCTTGGCCCGACGTAGACCAAGGCTGCACCCTGTGTCCTTCCACTGGGTGACCCCCGAGATGAATTCCCTGCTCATGTGGCCCCACGTCCCCTGTGTTCCCAGGAAGCGTTCTCAGGTTGCTGAGTTCTGCCCGGTTCATTCACTGGTTTCTGGCAGGTGCTGAGAATCTGCTAGAAACCACTGGACTCATCTCCTGAGGCAGGAGCCATGGCAGGACAGGGGTGGCGTGAGAAAGTGTTCGAGGTGGTGGTCACTCTGACCCAGGGCCAGCTGGCCATGGGTGGGGCTTTCTCCCCCTTCTTTTTGTAGCTTTTACAAAAATCAAACACGGGGTTTTCCAGCCAGTATTCGGTGGTAGCTGATGCCTCAGCGACTCAGGAGCTCAGACAGGGCCTGCTGGGCCGGTCACCTCCTCTCATGAGTAGCCTCTGTGTCCCCACGTGCCCCATGGGGGTCACCCTCTGCACGTGCGGCCATGGTGTGGAAAGCAGGGCGCCCTGGCTGGGCAGGGAGGCCAGTGGGGGCGGGGCCGGAGAGCCTGCGTCCGGCCAGCGGGGCGGGCTCCAGGGAGCGTGTCCCGGAAGCGGCGCGCGCTGACCGCTCTGCTCTCGCCCCCAGTACACGTCGAGCTCCTCCGGCGGGGAGAGCTCCTGCGAGGAAGGCCGGATGCGCAGGCCCACCCAGCTGAGGCCCTTCCACGCCAGGGCTGCGGGGGACCCCGACTTCGCCATCCCTCACCTGTCCAGCGACCCCGACTACTCCTCCAGCAGCGAGCAGTCCTGCGACACGGTCATCTACATCGGGCCCAACGGCGCGGCGCTCTCGGACAAGGAGCTCACCGACAACGAGGGCCCCCCCGACTTCGTCCCCATCGTGCCCGCCCTGCAGAAGAGCAGGGGCGACAGCCGGCCGGCGGAGGCCGGAGTGGCCGCTGCCCGCAAGCCGGAGAGGGACTGCTTGAAGTGCAACACCTTCGCCGAGCTGCAGGAGAGGCTGGACTGCATCGACGGCAGCGAGGAGCCCAGTCCGTTTCCGTTCGAGGAGCTGCCTGCCCAGTTCGGGGCAGAGCAGGCAAGCAAGTGCCCCCCATTGGGCCCCGCGGCAGGGGCCACCCTGCTCTGTGAGTCTGATAAGGAGGACAACGGGTCAGACGGCCAGCTGACTGACAGAGAAGGCGCTGACCCCCCGGCCTCCAGGGTGCCAAGGAACCCCTCTCCGGTCCCAGCCACCACCCTCCCCGGCAGCCCCGCCCTGGCCTCGCCCCGGAGCATCCCCGGCGGCAGTGGCAGCAGCGGCAGCAGCAGCCAGCAGGGCACCTCCCAGCTGGTGCAGAGCCGCAGCCTCCAGAGCAGCCGCGAGAGCCTGACCTCCTGCGGGTTCGTGGAGGGCAAGCCCAGGCCCATGGGCTCCCCCCGGCTGGGCGTCGCCAGCCTGTCCAAGACGTCCGAGTACAGGCCGGCCAGCTCCCCTTCCCAGAGGTGCAAGGTCTACACCCAGAAGGGCGTGCTGCCCTCTCCCACCCCACTGCCGCCCTCGAGCAGGGACCCCGGCATGGCGTCCGGCGAGTCCCTGCTGCAACCTGAGGTGCGGACCCCCCCGGTGGGAATGAGCCCCCAGATCGTGAAGAAGTCCGTGTCTGCTGGGAGTGAAGGGCTCCCCGAGGCCCCCGCGGAGTGCGAGAGCCAGGCAGCCACGCCTGCGGACTCCAGGAAGGAGCTCGTGAGCACCACGACGGTGACGGTGCAGCAGCCGCTGGAGCTGAACGGCGAGGACGAGCTGGTGTTCACGCTGGTGGAGGAGCTGACCATCAGCGGGGTCCTGGACGGCGGCCGCCCCACCAGCATCATCAGCTTCAACAGCGACTGCTCCGTGCAGGCCCTGGCCTCGGGCTCGAGGCCCGTCAGCATCATCGGCAGCATCAGCGAGGACCTGGAGTGCTACTCCGGCGTGGCGCCCGTGTCCGAGGTCAGCATCACGCAGTTCCTGCCGCTCCCGAAGCTGAGCCTGGACGAGAAGGGCCGGGAGGTGGGCAGCCGGCGGTCCTCCATCAGCTCCTGGCTCAGCGAGATGAGCACGGGCAGCGACGGCGAGCGGTCTTGCCACAGCTTTGTGGCGCAGGCCTGTTTCGGGCACGGGGAGGCCATGGCGGAGCCCCCGGCGCCGGAGCTCGTCGGCGGCCTCCAGAGCGCCGCCGTGGTGTGCCGGGAGAGGCCCCAGGCCGGCTCTGACAATGTGCTCATCTTGTCTGAAACGGGGGAGGACTCCTTCGACAAAGCCACCCCCATCAAAGGCTGCAAGATATCCACCCTGGGCAAGGCCATGGTCACCATCTCCAACACGGCCAATCTGAGCAGCTGCGAAGGGTACGTCCCCATGAAGACCAACATCACGGTCTACCCCTGCATCGCCGTGGGCCCCCGGCACGTCCAGGAGCCTGAGGCGTCCACTGGCGCTGAGCCCAAAGCAGCCCCGTGCCAGGAGAGAAAGGACACCAGAGCAAAGAGAGAGATGACGTTTGAGGACCCGTGGCTAAAACGAGAGGAGGAGGTACAGAAAGAGGGAGTGTGTCCCAGCGAGGAAGGGACGGGGTATGAGCCGGCCCCAGGCCCCGCGAAGCCTGAGGCCGCGGCAGGGCGGGAGCAGGACGGCAAGGCCAGCCCCAGCGACAGGCTGAGCAGCGGCAGCAGCGCTGAGGTGTCTGCCTCCCCGGGGACCGACAGCGGCAGGAGGGTGGTGGATGGCTGCGAGACCGCCCTGCCCGGCGGGGCCACCCAGACCCCCATGCCTCCCAGCAAAAGCCTTAAGTCCAGCAGCCTCCCCAGGGCTTTCCAGAAGGCCAGCCGGCAGGAGGAGCCGGACGGCCTCTTCTCCCACGGCGTCCCCGAGACCTGCGGCATCGGCCCCGCGCTGGGCAGCCAGTCCTCCAAGGCGACCCTAGAGAGGAAGGTGGCATCACCCAAGCACTGTGTCCTGGCCCGGCCCAAAGGCACCCCGCCGCTGCCACCGGTGCGAAAGTCCAGCCTGGACCAGAAGAACCGGGCCAGCCCCCAGCACAGCGCCAGCGGCAGCAGCACCAGCAGCCCCTTGAACCAGCCTGCGCCCTTCCTGGCCAGCTTCCCGGACGAGCCCAGTGGCAAGGCGAAGGACGCCAGCAGCAGCAGCAAGCTCTTCAGTGCCAAGCTGGAGCAGCTGGCCAGCAGGACCAACTCCCTGGGCCGGAGCACCGTCAGCCACTACGAATGCCTGTCGCTGGAGCGGGCCGAGAGCCTGTCCTCCATGAGCTCCCGGCTGCACACCGGCAAGGACAGCACCATGCCTCGCGTGGGGAGGAGCCTGGGCCGCAGCGCCGGTGCCTCGCCCACCAACCCGTGTGCGCCGCAGTCGGCCGGGGCCTCGCCCAAGGCCAGCCAGTCCAAGATCTCGGCCGTGAGCAAGCTGCTCCTGGCCAGTCCCAAAGGGCGCAGCCTGGCCACCTCCACCACCAAGACGCTCAGCTTCTCCACCAAGTCCCTGCCGCAGTCGGTGGGCCAGAGCTCCACCCCGGCCCCGAGTGGGAAGCACATGTCCTGGTCCACGCAGTCGCTGAGCCGGAGCCGGGGCTCTGGCCTGGCCGCCAAGCTGCCGCTGCGCGCGGTGAACGGGCGCATCTCCGAGCTGCTCCAGGGCAGCGCAGGGCCCCGGGCCCTGCAGCCACGGGCCGGGCCCGACGAGGAGCGCCCCGGGGCCCCCGATGACAAGCCGGCGGCCGCACCCCTGCTGCCGTCACCCTACAGCAAGGTCACGCCGCCGCGGAAGCCGCACCGCTGCAGCAGCGGCCACGGCAGCGACAACAGCAGCGTGCTGAGCGGGGAGCTGCCCCCGGCCATGGGCAAGACGGCGCTGTTCTACCACAGCGGCGGCAGCAGCGGCTACGAGAGCATGATGCGCGACAGCGAGGCCACGGGCAGCGCGTCCTCCGCCCAGGACTCCATGAGCGAGAACAGCAGCTCCGTGGGCGGCCGCTGCCGCAGCCTCAAGACCCCAAAGAAGCGCCCCAATTCAGGTAGGTGCTGGGCACGGGGTGGACAGAGGGCTGGGACCCCACTGCTGCAGTGCTCTTCAGGTGGCAAGGGGCACCCAGGCCAGGGGACTGACACCTGGTCTCTCCTTGCCTCACAGCCTGTCACCTGCAGGTGTGGCTGGGGATGTGGCATGGAGGTTGTCACTGTAAAAATGGACCTACGGTCTGGGCATCAAATAGGGCTTAAGATGAAAGGCAGGGCACCTGGCAGCCAGCAGTGCCCACCCCACACTCGGCGGCCATGGGATGAAGCTGCCCGTTCCTCCACGGCCCCTCCCCCCCAGCCCAGGCTGGTCTGCTCGTGGCCAGAGTGACTGCCCTCCCCACCCAGTGGCGCAGAAGCCAACAGGGTTGGCCCAAAAGTCCGTTATGTTTTTTTCCCTACGATGGCTCCAGTAGCATTTAGTTGTCTTTAACTTTATGTAAACAATTTTGTTAGATTATATTGTGACAGCTGTTATATCAGAGTGCATTTTTAAAAAAACTTGACAAAATTAGTGAATCTTTGTGCAGCCATTTTAATATTGAAGATGGAAGAAAATAAGTGACATTTTCGGCATATTATGCTTTATTATTTCAAGAAAGGTGCAAACGCAACTGAAATGCAAAAAATGATTTGTGCTGTGTATAGAGAAGGTGCTGTGACTGATCAGATGTGTCAGAAGTGGTTTGCGAAGTTTCTTGGCCCTACTGGCATTGTGGCCAAATAATTCTCTGCTGGGGGCTATCATATGTGTTGGAAGATGTTTAGCAGCAGCCCTGGCCTCTACCCACGAGCAGCCAATAGTGGGAGAGAGCCGACACACTCAAGGTATCCGGACCAATGTTATTGGTGAAAATGAAAAATGTGTCTTTTATTTATTTTTTAATATATTTTATTGATTATGCTATTACAGTTGTCCCATTACCCCCCCTTCATTCCCCTCCACTCTGCACACCCCCTCCAACCCACATTCCCCCCCTTTAGTTCATGTCCATGTGTCATTAAGTTCTTTAGTACATTTCCCATACTATTCTTGCCCTCCCCCTGTCTATTTTCTACCTATAATCTATGCTACTTATTCTCTGTAGTTTTTCCCCCTCTCTCCTCCTCCCACTCCTCTGTTACTAACCCTCCATGTGATCTCCATTTCTGTTGGTTTTGTTCCTGTTCTAGTTGTTTGCTTAGTTTCTTTTTGGTTTTGTTTCAGGTAGGGTTGTTAATAAGTGTGAGTTTGCTGTCATTTTACTATACATGTTTTTTATTTTCTTTTTCTTAGATAAGTCTCTTTAATATTTCATATAATAAGGGCTTGGTGATGAACTCCTTGAACTTGACCTTATCTGAGAAGCACTTTATCTGCCCTTCCATGCTAAATGAAAGCTTTGCTGGATAGAGCAATCTTGGATGTAGGTCCTTGCCTTTCATGACTTGGAATACTTCTTTCCAGCCCCTTCTTGCCTGCAAGGTCTCTTTTGAGAAATCAGCTGACAGTCTTGTGGGTACTCCTTTGTAGGTAACTATCTCCTTTTCTCTTGCTGCTTCTAGGATTCTCTCCTTAGTTTTAATCTTGGGTAATGTAATTCTGATGTGCCTTGGTGTGTTCCTTCTTGGGCCCAACTTCTTTGGGACTCTCTGAGCTTCCTGGACTTCCTAGAAGTCTATTTCCTTTGTCAGAATGCGGAAGTTCTCCTTTATTATTTGTTCAAATAAGTTTTCTACTTGCTTCTCTTCCTCTTCCCCTTCTGGTACCCCTATAATTCGGATGTTAGAACGTTTAAAGATGTCCTGGAGGTTCCTAAGCCTCTCCTCATTTTTTTGAATTCTTATTTCTCCATTCTTTTCTGTTTGATTGTTTCTTCCTTCCTTCTGGTCCACTCTATTGTTTTGAGTCCCAGTTTCCTTCCCATCACTATTGGTTCCCTGTTCATTTTCCTTCATTTCTCTTATCATAGCCTGCATTTGTTCACCTAATTTGCAACCAAAATCAACCAATTCTGTGAGCATCCTGATCACCAGTGCTTTAAACTGTGCATCTGATAAGTTGGCTATCTCTTAGTCGCTTAAAAGTACTAGCTCTAGGACTTTCAATTCTGTTTGAACTATATATTTTTTTCTCTTTGGTCTGGTCGCACCTGTTACGTATGAGGGGCGGAGCCTCAGGTGCTCACCAGGGCGGGGCACCCCAGTCGCTGGGTTGTGACGTTGTACGTGGGGGTGGGGTTCTGGAGGGAACAATGGCGCTTGCTCCGCTCTCAGTTGGACCTGAGTCCCTTCCGCCGCTTCCCCCGAGCAAACTGGGCCCCTCTGGTGCCAGTCCCCATGTGGATGAGCTTGTGCATGCTGTGGGACCCTCCAAGGACCTCTCCTGTGAGGCTGTGAGTCTCTCCCTGCACCTCAACCCCCACAGGTGTTTTCAATCAGTACCCCAAGGCTCTATTTCCCAGCGCTGGGACCCTGGGTTGCGCACAGTGCCTTGCTTCACAATCGCTGCCTGGCTGGGTCTGCAGGTTGCCACCCCTCGGCTGGGTTTGCCAGCTGCCGCTTGCGCGCTCAGGGTCCACCCACTGTGGTCTTGCACACCTGGGATGTCTTACGCGCCGGTCCCAAGGCTCTGCTCTCCCCGCAGCAACCTGTGCTCCCTACTGGTCTGGGTGAATGGGTCTATTTTAACTTCTTGGTTGTCCGACTTCCATACAGTTCAATTTTCTGTCAGTTCTGGTTGTTATTCTGTTTCTAAATTGTTGTGGTCCCTATCTTGGTTGTGTGAGGAGACACAGTGTGGCTACCTATGCCTCCATCTTGGCCGGAAGATGTATCTTTTATTTTATGGAAAAAACTAAACGGACTTTTTGGCCTACCCCACATGACCTCCTCCCCTCCGCCCCACCCACAGTGCACCAACAAGCCTTAGTTGTCAACGTCCGGATTGTTGATTGCGTGATGTGTGCCATGTGGTCACGTGTGTTCACGTGTTGCAGAGGGCTTTCACGTACTCTTCAGTGGCTCGAATCCACCAATCCATTTCGTTCTTTCAGTACCTTCTACTGGTTTCTCAGGACTTGCATGTTTTGGTCTGGCTGGTATGTGGGAGTCAAGAGGAGGAAAAACTGCAGTCACTCCCTGGAGGGTGGACAGTGGGCCCAGCACATGTCCTTGCTCCAGCGTCCCCTCCGTTCACAGACCCTTCACAGGCTATTAAAGGGAAATGGTGTGAAATAAACCGCCCAGGTAGGTGCCAGGGGGCAGGGTTTAGCATCGAGGGCTGAGGACACTGGGCCTCGGTGAGCAGCTGCCGTCGATCCCGCTGCGAAGTAGACGTGGGGGCAGAGATGCGCTCCTCTCAGGCCAGGTGACCTCGCCTCGCTTACTTGTCGTTGTTATTGAGGGGGACGCTGGCTGTCGGACGTGATCAGTGAAAGTCAAAGGCAGCGTCTTTAAGGGAAGCCATAAAACTCCTCAGTGGACATTCCCAGCTGGACAGCTGGGTTTTACGTCATCGGAGATGTTGGGGCTGCCGAGGGGAGACAGGCGGCCACCCTTATCAGGAAGTGTTTTTGAACTTGGAGAGTTTTGGTGTTTTGGTGACTCAGTGAAAGTGAACTAGGGATGTGAGTGTAGGAAGAGAACCGTGAGCTCTGAGTGTGTCGGGGTGCATGGAGCGGTAGAGACAAGCAAACGTTCCCTGGAGCGTCGCGGCGGGGTGTGGAGGGCACGGAATCGGGCTTGTCCCACTGGCCACAGCATGGGGCAGCCGTGCGAGGGCTGAGCCAGAGAGCAGGGGACGTGGGCTCCTACACGGTGTGACTTTTACGGCACCCCTTTCCTCTCGGGGCTTCCACTGGCTCACATAAGAAGTAAAGTGAGGGGTTGGCCTCTGCCGTGGTCTCTCAGATGCCCACGGCGCATGCATTGATTCAAATGGTACAAAGGATGTTGGTGCTAGTGTGACTTCCTTTCCCTAAGCCGATCCACAGATTTATTGTCAGTCGTTGAACAGTGCCCAGGCCCGTTCTCTGCATCGTTAGAGCTCCATGACAGGGACGTTTCGGGTGTGGCGGTGCAGGGGCAGGCAGCCGAGAAGACGGGCTGCTGTGAGAAGTCTGTGACCTCGTTGGAGGGGAGGGGCAGAACGTGGGGAGCAGAGCCCCAGGACCGGGGTGTGCTGCCGAGCAGCAGCGCGAGGTGGGAGGGGAGGGGGCGCTGAGAGGAAGAGAGGGCCCGCGGCACCGGGAGGAAGCTGCGGAGAAACACGGGTGAGCTGGGCCCCGGGGATGCGGAGGCACTGCAGGCCGCGGCTGTGATGGGTGCACAGGTTCGGGCGGCAAAGAGTATCGTGGCCTGCAGGCCACGGGGTGAGACGGAAGTGGCAGGGGGTGTTCCCGTTGGATGGGGTGGCAGAGGTATGTGGAAGCCTGCGTCAGGCTACACCCTGGACGCAGAGCAGCTGTACGATTTACCCTGCAGTCCGGTGCCGCTTAACGGCGGGGCGACTTTCTGAGGAACGGGTGGTTAGGTGATCGTGCCGTCGTGCGCATGTCAGAGAGCGCACCTGCACACACCTGGGCGGCTCGGCCCGCCACGCACCTGGGCCACGCAGTCCAGCCCAGCGCCCCGAGGCTACCGGCCTGCCCTGCCCATGGGAGACAACCGAGATTAAATCCAGCACGAGAGAAAATGATGTGATCAAAAGACACAGTAAACACAAGACGCATGAGGCTGCTGTAGCTTTTTTATGTGAGCAGAAAGCGTACACTCTAAGACGTTAGTGATGGAAGTGTGCTAGACCCGTGAACCGGGGACACCGCTGTTCCGTGCCCAGCAGTGTGCACTGCGTGTAACCGTGTGTGTGCTGTGCTTTGCACAACGGGCTGCGCAGTGGGTCCGTTTTCATCTCTGTCACTATGCACATGTGAGTGACGCGTTCTGCCACAACGTGCAGCATCGCTTGTTTTTTCCGGAACTTTCCGGCTCCGTGGTAGTCTTACGGTTGTGCCTAGAGGAGCACTCCGGGGCCCTGGGCACCTACTCTGTCCCATCCCAGCTTGGAAACGGTTCACCTTCCGGGGGAAACGCCACAGCAGCCAGGCCAGCCGGCATCGCCCGCCTCTGGGAGGCCGTGGAGCCGGCTCCCGTGGGTCAGGAAGATCACACAGCCTAACTCCCTCCCTCCCTCCCTCCCTCCCTCCCATCCATCCCTGATGTCCGCGGTTCCTTTCACGCTCCTGCTCTGTGCGTCCTGATGGCCGTCTTCCTGTGCCCGCGCCCGTGTCTGGGTGAAGGCCGTGGTGGGGCAGAGGCAGCCGCCGATGTGGCTCTCGGGGGCGGGCAGGACAAACACCTTCCCCGCCGGGAGGCCTCTGCACTTGGGCGTTTCCCGACATCCGAAGGGGAGGCAGCATCTGCCGACGCAGATGGAGCGGCGTCAGAGGGGCAGGCCCACGTCAGACCCAGTGCTGGAGAGGACGGGCAGGTGGGCTGTGCCTGGGCAGGGGCCCCTCTGAACGCACACAGCTGGCGGCCGGGGCACGAGCAGCGGGCGGAGGGGGCTCGGCTGCTGGTGGGGGTGGGGGGAGGCCAGCTGGAAGTTTCATTAAAGTACCAGCGTCGACTTTCTCAGGTCCAGTGGGGGCCATTTCACGCAGCAAAGCCATGCTGCCAGCTGTCAGCATCAGTGTCTTTTTGCATCCATGACCTCTGTCCATCTGGACGGGGTGCTGGGCCGACAAGCAGGGGTGATCGAGGAGGAGGAGTGGGCCGGTGCGGGCTGCGTCCCCAGGGCCCCCCGCCACTCTTGCCCGGCTGAGCCGCCGCCCCCACAGCCGCTGGAAGGCAGTGGTCACTGGCGGAGACTGGGGTCTGCAGAAAGCGGGGGGCCTCTGCTTCAGAAGTGGAGATGGCAGTGCGTGCAGTGAGCTCAAGAAATCACATCCCTGTGGGACCCAGACCCTGTGGGACCCTGAGGTCAGTCCTCTCTCCCAGGGACGGTGTGGCTGTGGGCGCCGCTGCTCCCTGTGGCCACTCGAGCACCGTGAGGGCACCCTCTCTCCCTCTGCAGCGCCTCTGCAGCATCCAAGAGCCTTTCCTGTCGCCCGAGCACTGTCCCTGCCCCGTCCTCAGCAGGGCTCACAGTCCCCTCTGCAGGAGGCAAGAGGGGAGGGGGTGGGGCCTCAGCACTGGCGCCAGAACTGGGTGACGTCGGTTCACGCACGGAATCGATGGACCGGCACCCACATCCGAAACTCCGAGAGAATCCTAGACGCCCGTTCACTGACGCAGTTCGAGTTCAGTATTATTGTGTATTCGTCTCGGGGGTACAGCACAGTGGTCAGACACTCGTGTGACCTGCGACGTGACCCCGCGGTACTTCTAGCGCCCACCTGGCACCACACGCGGTCGTCACGGTGAAACGGGCTGCACTCCCCGCACTGCACGCACGTCCCCGTGACTGTGCCGCAGCTGCCGGTCGGTCTGTGCTTCCCAGTTCCCTCACCTGTTCCACCCAGTCCCTCGGCCTCGGCCTCGGCGTCACCGCTGCTGCCACCAGCAAGGGCGGTGTTTCCTGGGGCTCCCGGCGCTACACTCCCAAACGCTAGGGCCCGTCCCCCTGGAATGAACACCTTCTGGGTCTCCTTAGAGCACACATCACACACGCTGAGCGAGTGTCCAGTGAAGCTCACAGCTCCGGTCTGCATGTGCTGGTGTGTGGACGCATGTGTGTAGATGCATGCACGCCTGCTTGGCCTCACAGGGGGAGGCTGCTGGTGGCTCCCAGGTGCCTTGGGGCCTGGCTTGGCGTCCGGAGGTGCAGGCCCCACGCCAGCCTCAGGGGAGTGGGCGTGGAGGTGTGTGCTGGGAGGCCGGGGCGTTCCAGACTCAGCTCTGCCGCAGAGGCCGGCGCCCGTCGGGATCCCGCCGCCCACATCAGAAGGAAATCTGTGTGAAAGGTGGAAATTAAAAAGACGCACTTTGGGCTCCCTCCCCTCCAGGTTCGCAGAGACGGAGGCTTGTGCCTGCTCCGTCCCTCGACACCCCCTCCCCCGCCAGGAAGCCGGTCGGCAGTGCCGGGGTCCGCTGGGTGGACGGCCCCTTGCGCAGCGCCCAGCGGGGCCTCGGGGAGCCCTTTGAGATCAAAGTCTACGAAATCGACGACGTGGAGCGGCTGCAGCGGCGACGAGGGGGCGGCAGCAAGGTGAGCCACCTCCTCCCCACAGGGCAGCAGCCCCCACCCACCCAGCACACCCCACCCCCCAGGGCGGGGACTGGGCACCGAGGGGGTGCTTAGGCCCAGGGTGACCCCCCAGCGGGCTTCTGAGGTGGGTGGGAGGTCACAGCCCTGGCCCAGCACAGGACTGCGGCCCAGGATTTGGCGAACTCTGCGTTTCCCCGTGTACACATCTGCAGGGCTCCCGGGCTGGGGAAGCCGGCAGTGCTAGGGGCTTCTCCGGCTCCTTCTGCATTTCAGAAGTGCCTGCCACAGTCCTGCACTCGGGGGGCTTGTCGGAGCCCACTCTGTCAAGGCTGCAAGCCGGCCGTGGTCACCCAGGTGCCTCCCAGGGTCCCCAGGGACCAGCTCACTGTCCAAGGACTCTGGGCTTAAGCGGCGCTTTCTAGACGAGGGCGGGTGGGCTGGCCCTGGACTGAAGGCTCTCTTCCTCCTCCTTCCCCTAACCCGCCTCTCCCTCCCGCCAGGAGGTGACGTGCTTCAACGCGAAGCTGAAGATCCTGGAGCACCGGCAGCAGCGGATCGCCGAGGTCCGCGCCAAGTACGAGTGGCTGATGAAGGAGCTGGAGGCGACCAAGCAGTACCTGATGCTGGACCCCAACAAGTGGCTCAGCGAATGTAAGGCCCGTGGCTCGCTTCCGTCGCCGTGACTCCCGCCCGGGGCTGCCGGCCGCCCAGCCCGGCACGCCAGGCAGGGCGAGACGCAGGCGGGCCGTCGCTGCATCTGCAGCCAAGGGCCTCCGATGCCCGTCGGG